TTCGCATATTTTTTTTGTTTCACTGTAGCAAAAAAATTGGTGGAATATTTAGGCTAACAATTTAACCTTTTTATTCTATCATCTTTATACCATATAAAACATTTTTATATTAATTGTACCAATTCGAGTAACAAAAATACAAACTTTTTGTTATAAAACCGGCAGATTACACGAATATTGTATCACATTTCGATCAATGTTTCCGTTGTAAAAAACTGCATAAAGCGAATTTCCATGACGTAAATACGGCATACAAATGAAAAAACTTGAATAGAAGTCGATAACGAACCAATCTGATGCGGTAAATTCCATTAAAAACCAAATGAAAATGAACCCTTGTTTGCTGCGTCAGAATTTTAAATGCGACACCATGAATATTAATGTCGAATTAAATTCCATCCGGAAATAAGAGACGGGCGCGATGGAAAACGTAACGTATGGAGACGAGCGGAAAATTGCAGAAGAAAGTAAGTGGCAATTAGATTTTCGGTCCTTTAATTTCGTAGAGGAGCTAAAAAGAAACTCGGGGTTCCTTTTATTTTATATGATGACGAAAATTGAGTTTTCTGGAACTGGGACTGAGACTCGTATAAAAACGAAATAAAATAATATATCATCATAATCAGTTTTTTTTTCATGAAATATTTAATAAATTAAACTCACTACATTTATTAAATTTAATGTGCTGTTACGCATTTATATTGTATAGTACCTACAACAGGATCAAACAACATAATCCCCGTTATTACACAAGAGTGTAAATATCAAACAATTGATTAAGGGAGGAATATTTGCGTTTCGTTTACACCAAAAACATATTTGTATTTCCCGTCGACTGGCTATTTATTTAGGTAGAAATATATTTATGAATTTGTGTCGTCGGTTTGTCGCAACCAATTTGCGCTTCATTGGACGTTCACTTTTCGTTAATTAACGGCCAATACGCGAAGGGTGTTCCGGCAATTACGTTTCATTGAAATTATTGTATATTGTACGAATATTGTACGAATTGGTCGCGAACACTTGCTGTTATTTTTATTCCCAATTTCATCCGCTCTGCGAGAATCGATTATTATCGATCATATCGAATGGAATGGAGAAGTTGCGGCTGGTCCGGTCAATTTCGCACGCATTATGCCGCGTTGTGTTCCGTCCTCGGTGGATAATCCGCCCGCCCGGATGTCCCCGAGCGTGATTTATTTATCAGATCGAACCCCTAACGGTCCATTAATTCGTCGGGGGCTTTGGAAATTATGCCAGAAACGGGCGACGGTCGATCGACCGTCAAGAGACCATTCCGAACTGTCGGAACTTTTAATAGTGCCCGTACAGGTCGATCGGGGAATTTCCGATAATCGAAATGCACCCTCGAATCGAGCAAAGCGTCTTTCCATTTCGATTAATTGGATGATAAACTAATCAAAAATCGATTTAATTTTTATAACTACGATTTAATCACTACGTTCCTCTATTATCAGATACGCAATGAACGCCCTTCCGGAGTAATCCGGGCGGTAAATTAGAGACCGCGCCGCACGACACACTATTTACAGCGCTGTTATTATTACGGGAAAATACTAATTAAAATAAAATTAATTAAGAGTCCGTAACATGTTTATTAAAGGAAAGCGTCGCCGCAAATATTCGATTAATTAAAGGACTTAGTAGGCCGCCCGGTTCGTTACGAAGGGGGCGGCGAAATGGCGGTTGCATCAAAAGGAGCGAGGCCACGTGTAAGTGCCGAGATACACCTACAACGTTTCATCGTCGAAACCGAATCCGTGTCTCCTGTAAAGTAGGTTTAAACGGACGAGAATGCGTTGGAAGAATGGCTTTTGTATAGGGTGATTCGATTGTAGGGATTATAGGGGATGTAAATTGGTGTAGTACAATCGTGATTATATCAGGATTTTGTGCTATTAGTGGTGACAAAATCCGTGAAGTGAATGAAGTGAGTTGAATCTGTATCTACAGTCGGTGCAAAACTAATATCGCACGTAACTACTTTGTGCATTGTGTCCAACTTTTAAAAAAATACACAAAATAGATTAAGCTTAATACCTGCAGAATTTAATTTAATGTTAACAAGGGATGATAAAAAATGTTAAAAAGCAAAATTAAATCATTCAAAAAATATGTATTGTCAAAATTCAACGTTTGTATCATAGACAAAATACACATATAGACCGGACACTCTGTCAAAAAAGTGGTTGGCCTGAATGTGCTGCCATCCATTGGGGTCCAACAAAACCTATTACAGGAACCTATGAGATTTTAGCATTTATTGGCGGGAATTCTCACACATTTAAATGTAGCAGGTGAGATTGTAGTTAGGAATTAAAAATACATATATTTGCTGTATACTTATATTGAACTGTTACTAAATAATACACTCAAATATATAATAAAAATAAAATAAATAAAGGATAATAATATATAATACATAAATGACATACATTTTAATTTAAGAACAATTTTACTACTTACTTTATAAAAATAAACGTTTACGCGTAATGTCATAATGGCGTAATGGCGTACTGTAAACAATAACAATTCGTTTAGGAATTCTTCTTTTCCATTATTTAGATTTGACTTAGCTGCCAATGCTCTTCGGCAACAGAAAATGTTGTTGGGCCCCTATAGATGGCATTGCAAATCGTTCTCCAAAATTTTCAAGAGTAAGTGCCACCCCCCTGGTTTGTATATAAAATTATTATTATTTTCTTGTATAGTAAGTTGGTAGTCACTGACTGTCAAGTTGCATAGTTGCCGTTGTCATCCGATCGGTACTTTTAATTTTTAATTTTTTCTTCTTTTTTCTAGTTTACTAGCCTTAACTATACTAAAGGCTATTTAGACGAATAATCAAGAAATAAGAATTTTATTGCGTAGTTATCTTTTCCACATGTTAGAAATGACAAAATTTGAGCTCTAAATAATTCAGAATCAGAAGTTTTCACAGAAATTTCACTATGTACTCTTTTAAGGGTCAATTGTAACCTATTTTTTTACTCGAACTGTTAAATATATTTCAGATGATAAATAAATTTGTTGATTAATTATAGTAAGCTCCTGCGAATACGTCCGCCGTTTAGAAACGTAAAACAAATACCCCTAATTTTCAATTTGTTCTTGTTATTTTGCCATTTGATAATTTTAGAAAATTCTTAGATTTTTTAAAGTCTGTAAAAGTTCGGCAACACTGCCTACTTGTTACATAGTAAATCATGGGTGACGTGCATTGATTTTTTTCCACGAACAAATAAACATTTCTACCTGAAATGAAAAAACTCCTAAAACTAACGTCCGGTATACAAAAAAGCCCGAATTGTTAAAGCTCCTGTCGGAATCGGCTCCGGTAAAATAACGTTTCTCGTTTAATGAGCAATTAAACTTAACTGTGGCTCGGGCGACGGGGAAAAAGCCGGGGCCATAAGAGCATTTCGGGTTTGAAAAAACATTAGCGGTTCGCAAATCCTATTCCGTCGAAAATCGCCGCGTGGAAACCGCCCGGCAATTCCGGGAATAATTGGAAAGTGCTTTTTAATGGCAACAAGTATTTAGTTCGGGATCGAATGCGTTGTGTCTGTATGTTCGCTCGGTCACATTTAATTATTTCGCCTCTACTTAGCTGAATTCGAGGGGCTTTGTAATCGGACAGCGTCCAAACTAATCATCATCAACGAGGATATATCGAATTATTTAAATCTCCCATCTCCGCGTGTGTTTGGACAGAAAACAAGCCGTTCTTGTCGCAGAATTCGACGGATCGAATATTCGCATGAAGGTGATAAATAAAAGATCCAATCTCGAAATACGTCGATAGAAATTTGAATAGGCGATCCGGCGAAAGCGTGTGTGCCGGGCGAGATTCTCTCACAAAAATCTGTTCTTTTCGAATAAAGTTCCAACCAAAGAGAATATAAGTAGCGAGAAAGCACGTTAGATGGAGAGAAACTTACAGTGCGGGAATTCGCAATGAGTTAAAAAGCTCAAAATTAAATTGTAAATAAAATGTACTGGAGGTAAATAATATTATATTACCCTGTAGTCTAGTGCAATTTGTAGGCTATATAAATTTCCTCTCAGGATGATATTACCCGCTTTACTCAACTTTGCAAAGTAAACAAAAGGTATAAATGTAGTGGATTTTGTTGTGAACGATGAAAGTACAAGGCTGTGTTAACAAAACTAGGTTAGCAAAATAATGATGCGATTTCTAAAAAATTGGTATTTGCTGTAATACAGGGTGGCCCAATGAAAAGTAGCCCCTTTTTAATCGCCTAAATCATAAAAACAAGCGGTTTTCTGTACAGGGTGTTTCATAAAAAATCCTCTTTTAAATTCACATTAACCAAATTTTATGAAATAGGACATCTTATTTTGTAGAATAACAAGAACAAATAATACATTTGAAAAGTAGAAGAGTATATCTTTCAAAATACCTCTGGTATATACGGAGTATTACATTTAAAAAAAATTGGTTATTGTGAATTTAAAAGAGGATATTTTGATAAAGCTTTCTTTATAGGAAATGCATAATTTCTGTATCACTGTAACAAAACTTGTAATAAAATAAACCATATTTGAGAAAACCGCATATTTTTTTGATTGGGCGTTTAAAAATTATAAGCCCATTAAAGGAACTACTCTTCATTGGGACACCATGTATATCCAACTTTGGCTTTTAACGTCTCGAGGAACTGTCCACTGAAAAAATCCCCCACGTACATTTCTTAAAGGAAGCAATAATTTATGTTTCCATTTTGAAGGAAGCAATAATTTAGCAATAATTTCTGTTTCCAGGAGTACCATGGTACCGATTATCGGCCGCCCATCGACCCTTATAGACGCCACCGCCGCCTTGTTGGACGAACCGCCGACGCCATGCCGTAACGTACCGGAATCGCACCGTCGTCGAGAAGGGGCCGCATGCAATAGGGGCGCGTGGGGGCCGCGCGACCAGCGATGAGTCGGTGCTCGGCGGTGCGTCATCGCTCATGGACCACCCCGCTGCTAACGTGCGGATCTTCTTCAGCGTGGGGCCGCGCCACGAGACTGCGATCTTCCGTTCCGATACGCCTTCGGATCAGATTAAAGGTCAGTTCATTCTCTAACATCTACAGATTTTCAACGTTACTGGTATCTTATCCATATAAACTGCTCCACAAAAGTTAAGGAAGTTCGCAAATTTTGCGATTATTTTAAAAGTTACAGACGTTTTGATCACCAAATTTTCCAATATGCGAAATTAAATGTCTCAATACTAATCTCAATATTTGTGAGCTTCCTTAACTTTTGTGGAGCAGTATATTTACTACAATCTAGATAGATGCTATACCATAGTTTACTATAGGTATTTCCATAGGCAACTTCAATGGACTAATATTTTTCACTGAGCCATTCTACTTTTCTTGACTACTCTAGTGTTCTTGATTATTCTACTTCTCTTGACTACTCTACTTTTTTGGACTACTCTACTACTCTAAATACCTCCCTCTACTTTCCTATAGTACTCTCGGTACTTCCCTCGATTACTCTACTTCCCTATAATAGACTAAGTATTTCACCTACTATACTCGTTTAATAATTGTTATACACATCGAAGGGGGTAAATAACAACGATGTAGAAGACCTATGTGTAACTTTGTAATAAAATAAGAGAAGAAGTTCCTGTATAACAGTCGAGCTTGTTAAATTTCAAGAGACGGTGTTCCCAAACAGTGGAAAAGGAGCGTATATCTCGAACGACGGTTATCTAACGATCAGTTTGCTATGCACAGAAGATGGGTTTGTTTATTTGTTTCGGTAAATGAAATGGCGGACGTCACGAAAGTTGTGCGGCGGAGTTCGACGGGCTGGAGACGAGGTTTTCGGGTCGCGGTGAACTTCCCGTACAACTTCGCAATTATCTGTTAAACCGCATCGGGAATTCGGATTCCAATGATATCGGGCCTTGCGGATCGGTTAATCGAAAATGTTTAATCGATTAGGCGCCGATGGAGGGCGTTAATCGCGTGGAAATAGATTAGCGTGTCGTCGCATAATTTTTTTTTGTATTAGAAGAGAATTTGCATAGAAAAATTAACGATGATATTTTGTGCAATGTTTCAGTTGTAATTGAATTTATCTATGTGAAGAAAACCGGAAACAGTTTCAAATATAGAAACCATTAAATGTGATTTCTGACGCTATTTTCTATCTCTAATCATCCGAGAAAATCGGAGTTCTTTTAAAACACGGTTGTATTTTCCTATTGGAAGATCAAGCGTGTTTTCCTCGAACGCTATTGTCAACTGGGTTGACACAAATGAGTGTGTTCAACAGAAGCGAACACGATGTTAAAGGAGAAACGTTGTCAATAAAATTATTACGCGCGTAAGATTTGCGAAATATCGATAAAACCTTGTAATTTCTTTATAGATATAGATAGATGTTTAGAAACGTCTTGTATATTTGATGAGATATCGGGATATTTCTGCCGCCATTCCGTATCAATTTGGCTCTTTTTACGCTATTACAATCGTAACAAAATTATCGGGCAGAGACTGGCGAATTGATTGGGGAAAAAATCGCAGAAAGACCGGCTACGCTAACAAAGTTTTGTTTGTCCCGAAACGACAAAGAGCGCTTCTAAGTTCGCCTTCCCCGTAATAAATTGATAAAAAGGAAACATTCGTCCGGCGATGTAATTCGCAAGTTACATCAAAAGACCTTCGGGGGCTCCGAAATTAAGCGAAAAGGCGATATTGCCCTTTTATAAATTTCGCCTTTTTTTTCCTCTCATTCCGAGAAATTGCGATTGATCTCGCGGACCCGGTCTCTCGGTTTCTATTTAAGTGGACCTAAAATAACTGTTTATTGTACATTCAATACATATACAGGGTGTTAATTAATTGAGTGCTATAGTTCAGGATGTGAATATTTGAATGATTTTAAGAAGCAAAGTTTCTATCAATATATGTCATAAACCTCTTAGTTTTCAAGCTACAGGGTGTTACAGTTTTTGAAAGAAAATAACTTTTCGTAATTTTCTTATTATTCGAGATATTTTTATGAAATTTCGGATGTGAACGTTACTGGTGATAGTAGACATTTTTATCCCAAAAAAAGTATTTCCGTGCATGGTGGGCGCCTACCAAATTTTAAGAATATATCAAAAGCAGTCTCAATCTCAATGAATGGGAAAAAATGTTTTGGTTTTTATTTTTTTTCGGCGAAAATGATGCGTCAAAGTAAGAAAGTAAGTCTTTAAAATAATTAAAAAGTGTGTACAAAATTTTATAAAAGTATCTGGAGTAATAAGAAAATTTTGATAGAAAAGTTATTTCTTTTTTTCTATAAAACTGTATAACACCCTGTAGCTCGAAAACTAAGAGGTTTAGGACATATGTATATCGATAAAAACTTTTCTTCTTAAAATCATCCAAATATTCACATCCTCAAGTATCGACACTCAATTAATTAACACCCTGTATAATAACAAAAATAAAGCGAAAAAAAACCAAAATCAAAAATCTAAAAATTCACTTTTTTAAAATAAATCAAAAATAATTTATCAAAATCTGTTTGCACCAGTTTAATAACACCCAATTTCCCTATATTAATACATATTTAACCATTTTAACGCATCTCGTATAATTTCCAAGAACACTCCAAATAAAAATTCCCATAATTTCCTTATCCACTACTGTACCTACTATAAAAGCAAGTATTACATAAATGTTTATAAAAGCGTCTTTCCGAAGCGAATAAAACGTGTTTCCAACGACGCACCGTCTTTTTCCAGTTTATTACCCGAATTAAACGCGACATTTCAAGCTCCCCTGGCCCCCTTCCGGGGCGCTTAAAGCCCTCCAAAGCTCCCGTGACGTATTTTCGCGGAGAATGTGCATCGTGTGTACGCAAGGCGTTACTTCTGAGCCGTCGGTTCGTTTGCGGAGAGAAATGTCGAAAAGGAGGAGAGAATGTTTGTTTAAAGTTTTATAACTTAAGAATGGAAATTGTGGATTTTTTGGCGCATCCGCCATAATTTTAATTCGCTTGAAACTAAAGTTAAATGTGAAAAGCTCGACGAACTTCGAGAGTCGTTAAAAACGTTCCAATTAAACGCTCGTTTAGTGAGCGGAAATATTCGGGAAAATTAAAAAATACACATTAAACTTCGACGAAACAAGTGCGTTATATTGACTCCACTTTTCTAGTATTTCTGGTACAAAATTTCGGCGATTTATATTACAATAAAATCGCTTTCGAGGCGATAGCATCGGCGTTCCATCGTTTTCACGCCTCGCTCGAATTTGTTTACATTCGCTTTCTCTTTTCGCCCGTTGTTCGGAAGGGCGCATTCATCCGCGAAAACAATGGCGTTCGGGATTTCCCCGACTTGCCGAAGAGCGAGCGAGTTTCGAGCTGTCAACAAAGATGTATATCGGGCTCGAGACCGCCGTTACCAACTTGCCAACTTATTGGGATTATTTCCCTAATGGGGGTTGCCTCGACAATAGCGAAAGATGGAAGTTTTCGCACAAATCATAAAGGTAAACTCGACAATTTTTTAGTCATTAGACTGTACTCAAAGGGTTGGTGTATAAATTTATTAGTATAAAACGACATGAAGTTGTTGTGGACTGAATGCCTTCATTAGTAACGGCCTTGAATTGTCAAAAAAAGATCTATTAGTGTCAAAAACGGCATGAAGTTGTTGTGCACTGAATGCCTGCTTTGGTAACGGCCTTGAATTGTCAAAAAAAGATCTATTAGTGTCAAAAACGGCATGAAGTTGTTGTGGACTGAATGCCTGCTGTGGTGAAGGCCTTGAATTGCCAAATAAAGATATATAGGTTTGTTCCTACAAAAAGTCACTGATTTGTTACCAATAAGTTTCTGACTCTTCTATTTCGCATGCGCGGTTTATGATTGAATGGTGTAATCAAATTTCCGATTTCTTGATGGAACAGTCTTAAATTTATTACATATTCACCAAATATCAAACAAAAACAACAAACAACAAAACCTAATAATTAACCTATATTCATAAATACAAATTAAACCCAAATTAAAAATGCGCTTGCGCCGGATTCTAAATATCTGTACTATCATCAAATTTTTCTGACTATCACAAAACCAGTCCCTTGAACTGTTGGAACAATAAATTGTTAACCAAGTCAGAATCAGAGATGTCTGTGGAGTTTGTTGGAACGCCTAAATTATTACTGCGCAGACTCCTGACGACCACCGACTATTTCTGACTGTTGTAGGAACAAACCTACTATTATAGTTAATAATTATTATAATAATTATAATAACAAAAGTTATTATGAACTGAATGCTTGTTTTGGTAAAGGCTTTGATATGCAAAAAGGCAAGATATATGCAAAAAATCCTTCTTTTAAAAAGTGATAATGTTAACTGCATTATTCAATAACAATTTAGAATTTAGCGAAACTTCTAAGCAATTTCTAGGAATATAATCTGAATTTAACGAGCGGAATTCTGCATTATTCATAAAATTGTACATCTGCTGCTTGCGGGGGCAGATTGTTTGTATTAAGCATGTCGCGACAAAGAGGGTTTGCATAAAGGGCCGCATTTTAATTTTAAATTGCGTGAAAATAGCTTGCATTTACCCGGAAAAATGCTTCCTAAATCATCGCCGGCCGGATTCCTTGCGAAAATTCGTGTTGGAACGCGCGATGTGCGCGTCGCGAGAATGTAATTTCTCTTAATAAAGCTTCCGAAACTTAAGAAATTAAGCGGCGGACGGTATTTTTTAATAAATATTAAGCGCCTTGCGTCTCGAGTAAATCACGGAATTTACGAGAATTATGAGATTTTTTTTATCACAGACGCGTCGGAATTAATACATATTATTCGTTGTGTTTGTTTTTTTAGCAAATTTTTCTGATTTAGTACGGACTCAAAGGAGTAGAGGATAAGCCTGAAAAACGGCGATTTGTGGAATTTTTTCATCAAACTTGTGAATCGTATTCAATTCGCCCTCGGAAAAAATCCGTTTTGCCTTACCAGCGTCGGTCTTTTGTGAACGATATTCCTGCTGGTTCGCACCGAAATGATCTCATTTCCGATATAAATGCTCT